TTGTTGTGCAGTCCCAACAGGCCCTACTTGGACCACCGCAGTAGGCGACCGGCAACAAGTGAGCTAGATGGGTCAGTGGTTTGCCCCGGCTCTCCTCTATGGAAGTGTGTGCGCGATGTGGCGCGGCAGCCGTTGACTGCCGTCTGACAACTCATCAACAGCAGAGTTGTGTAAAAATATAATTAATTACTTGTTTTGCATGTTGAACTGGCAATGCCACCTTTGCAATTGTGATATGTTGTGCAGCACTGAAATTCGCTCCTTGCACTGACGACTGTCTTGCCTTGAACTTGCACTGTCTGCTGCTGTAAAAATAAGGCCGCTCGTGCTTCCTGCCATGAACAGACCCTGCTTCATCTTAGGACCATGGCCCCAGTGCGTAGCCACTCCAATGAACCCTCTCTGTGATGCACCAGAGCAGATGCAAGTGTCAGGGCAGCCCGTGACTGACATGTATGACACACCTTTGCGACCGCGGCTAGGAGTGCCTGCTACAGTTCTTTGGGCCCAATAGTGAGACCCCAGGGAATCCCCGTACCTCACAGCTGCCTAAAGATGGACGTTCTCTCACATGAGGACCCTCCAAGACTGCTCCGTGTGTTCTGGGAGCCCTTAGTAGGAGGAAGCCTGGACGTTTGGGATTTCTGGACCTTGCAGCTCTTCATCCTCGGTGCCCTGATGGCTCAGGTCTTTTGCGCAGGTCTCATGTTCGTCCTGTTTGTATGTGCAAGGAAAGAAATTCATATGATGAGAGAGGACCTCAGACGAGAAAGACAGAATTACCTCACCACGGGGGTCATCACGTCTGACGCCCCCAGGGCGTTTGCTGGACTCATGAAGGATGAGGGTGACAGAAAGCACAAAGACCCAAAGGGGTACATACGTCTGCTACGGAAGGAGCTGGAGGAGTATAAGGGGCGCTTCCTGTGGTCCAGGGATTGCTCGCTGTCATAAGCCATAAGCAAGCACTCTGAACCCCTGCTGAAAGATGTTCCCGACAGCCTGCGCACCATCATGAACCACTTGGATGACATCAAGGACACTTTCGACGAAGGTGTCCAGAAGTCCTTGACGATGCTGGAAACCAGGTTGTTGGCCTTCGAACAGGATTTTCCATGCAGAGAGAGAAGATCCCAGAGTCGCTTCGCAGACAGAACCAGTCGGTGGAGAGAGTTTGTGTCAATGTTGGCATGACCTTATCGTCGACTCAGGAGGCAATGGTAGATATAAACACGCAGTTCGAGGCGCTAAAGACGGGAGTCCAAAGCATCGAACTCCAGTGGAGCCAGTGGACGGACACCCTTCAGCAACAGGACCAGCTGCTTGCCTCTCTCGCAGGCCTCCAAGGCGAAATACTAAGGAAAGTTGACAAAAGCAATGCTCGTCTACTTGCCCTACGTGATCTCATCCAAGGCACGACACCAGCTCAGACTCAGGATTCGTCGACTGAGACAGCCGGCCATGCCTTAGGAGGAAACCCAGAGGGTTTGGCTTCGAGAGAGGGCGATGGCCCACCATGCCCTGAGGAGGAGTGCGCAGAGGCGTCCACACGCCGCCAGTACCACTAAGGATCGCTGAGGCTACCATGCGCCTGGAGGGCGAACCATGGCCCAGAAAAGGGCTGTTGCTGGCAGTAGCCGGCCCTCGCAAATAAGAGCCGTGCCTTGTAGACCTTTTGCTCTGAACCCCTTTTCCTGTAATTAATGAACTGCTCCTTGCGCTGATGCAAACCCTTTGAATCCTGCACTGCCTTTGCATGTCGCTGGAAAATCAAACATGCCGAGAGCTTCACCGTGAGTACTCCGAGCCAACCACCTGAGATAAAGCCCCCCACCCCAAGAAGTAGACGGGAAACTTGCACATGTCGCAGCACTTCATGCCCGAAGGTTAACTGTACCTACACGCCCTGATCGCCCCCCCCCGTCATGTCGTCCTGCGGTCGAGTTGTGTCTTTGGCTAAGGTGCTCCTGGATGAACTGAGAGATCACCCTAGTATGGAGCCCCTGGACCTTGACCGTATTCTCTCACACATTCCCCCGAAGTTCTGGAGCCCACCACCCAAGCCACATGGCTGTATCGTGTTTGGGCTTTCGCCGAGATCCCTAGGACCCACACATGCAACCAAACAGTTCCCTTGCCTAGCTACACTGCTTGCACAATATGTACAACTCCACCTCCCCAACATTCACTTCAGTACGATTGGTGTTCGTATAGGAGGGAAACTGACAGCGCACTGTGATCTTGGAGTCTTGGGAACTAGTGGGGTTCTCTCGGGAATGGGGCCTAGACCATGTGGCTTTTGGATAGCAACGGCCGATGGGTGCTTCTTTGAGGAATTTGAAGGACGCTTTGTTGCTGGAGAGGTGCATGACCTAAGGCGTGGAGCTTTGGCATTTGACCCCAAACAACCCCATTGCGGAATGCAGATAAGCCAAGCTCGCAGGATTAGTGTAAGCGCATTCCAGTTGTCGAGAGCTCAGCAGCCTGAGCGACAAGTCCTTGCCAGCCTCATGGAACTTGGGTACTTTCTGCATCCCCCGCCATCCTCGCCCCAAACCTCCATCCTCTCGTTCTTTGCCAGGAGAAAGGACCAGGATAGCGAAACTACTGAGACCGAGCCCCCTGTGACAGCCCCAAACACCGGTAAAGCTCGAACCCCACAACCAAGCTTTGCTGCTATGCTCGTCCCTCTGATTGACCTGACCGGTGAAGAGGACGACGAGGGCCATGTACAGGTGGAGATGTCGTGGGATGAACGGATGACGATCCGTTGACGTGGTCGCTCGTCCGGTGGTGTTGCGTGCGTGTAACATGCATGATGATGCCTGAGGCGACCATGCAGGTCCTGTGTTTCACATTGCGCTTGCTTTCCTGCACTGCCTGACACTCTTTCCTTGCTCCTTGCGCTTTGCTGCTACTCCTGCTTCCCTTGCCATTACTTGCTGATTACTGTCTACTGCCCTGCTTCCTTGCCCTGTCTGCGCTGCCTTGCCTGGGTCGGGTTCCTACGGTTACCCCTGCTTAGCTATGGTCCCTAATCTCCCATTCTGGTTGCGGAAGCGAAACGGCTGTCTCACACAAACGCGGTGCTTCGCCATGGTACCTGCGCTCTGCCACAAACGGTTTACGGCCTCCCAGGGATGGGATATGCCAGTTTGCAAGCTGTTAATGCATGCGAACGCGTCCAAGCTGGCGGAGTGGAAAACCATAGGCTTCTGCATTGAGGTGACCCGTCCCATATATATCCGTATGTGTCCACGGTATCTCCGATGGGGACCTACCAAACTGCCAAAGACACATAGACCCATTTGGAGCCTGGTCTGTGAATTGAGTGCAGCCATACGGACCTACAGGGACGGCAGGACCTCACAATGCCAGTGACAGCCATAGACTTCGTGTGACAAAGTGACAAGATGGTGACGACATGACCCGAATGTTGGCATGGCCGATTGCGGCTTCCCAAGAAAGGGACATGCCTGGTGACGACCTTTACGCCCTCCCGGGATGGGACATGCCAAAGACGACATGTCCCCACAGAAGGGGACTACACCAGAGGGCAAAAAAGGACGATACCAACTCGTGGATTGGACGGGGCTTGAAACAGCTTTGTCCTACACCACTCCTACGGCGAGTACGTCCAAGCTGGACATCATGCATTACGGCCTCCCAGAAATGGGACATGCCAATGTGACGACCTTTACGGCCTCCCAACAATGGGACATGCCAAAGATGACATCCCCGCTGGGGAAGGGGACTATAACCAGTGGTGAGAAGAGGACGGCGCCGACTTGTGGCGTGGGAAGGGCTTGTAGTGACTCTGCTCCTACATGACAATGCAGCGAGTGACTCTAGACTGGCTGCTAGCAGAGAGCCGGCGTGTCTGGCGAGTGTGGAAAGCTCTATAACATCTGGTGCACCTCTCGAGACAAAGGGACTGGAAGCAGCGACCAGACACAGATAATGCCCTCTGCCTCCTGGAGCCTGGCAATGATGATTGAAAATCTGGTGCTCCAGTATGCGACTGCATGATAGCTGATGGAGTGACCGAGCCGAGTGAGCCCGGGAACGAGTAGGTGAACCTTCTGCCCCCGCGTGTGAACGTGTCTGGTTGGGTAGCTGTTGGTGAGCTGTGAATAGGGTTTTGTAGTACTGAGGTGAAGTGCAAGTCGTGGGCAGCGCGTAGGAAGTTTCTTGCGCCAAGTGATTTCCAGAAGTGGCGCGTGCATAACCAATAGTTGCTGCACAAAATTGTAATTAGTGCACTGAACATGCAGCTCTTGAGAATTTGTGAATTTAGGACCTTCCACCTGGCGACTGCTGCACCTTCTTTTGGCTGGGTTGTATTGTATGGTTCTTACTGGGATCGTGATGCGGCTGGTTGCTTCGCTGTGCTTGATAGTATAGGAGTGCGCCACTTGGGCCCGCCCCATAGTGGAGTAATTTTAAACTGAATTTGGGACCTCGGGAAGACAAACTCCTCCTGGAATGGTGACTAGTTTTTTGACTCGGGTGACGAAAGGCTTCAGTGAGTCGTGCTGTTCTGTGTTGCGCTGTGCTGGTCTGCGGAGAAGCCTTTTATTACCTACACCTCGTCAGTAGTCAAGACCCTGCAATGCTGTCGTTGACGTGCCAAGTGGGTGACAAAACTACTACTACCACTACTACTACTACAACAACAACAACAACTACTACTACTACTGTTACTACTAACTACTA